TTGTCAAATAAAGGTATAAAACTGCAAAAAAAAAAAAAATCCTGGAGCCAGAATTCGAATCCTGGCAGTTTCACTTCCTGATCATGAGACTTGGCAAGTTCATTGACATTTATGCACCTCAGTTTCCTTAACTGTAGAATAGCAAGAAAAAAATAATAACACCCACCTTGAGTGTTATAATGAAGAATACATTAATAATAATACCAATATCTGTAAAACTCTTAGAGGAGTACCTGGCATTTGGCAATTACCATTAATTATCATTAATCCTCCCCGCCCAGTCAACAATGCCAGTTTCTTTTAATGGAGTTGAGAGAGGGAGGGGAAAGAACAGAGAAGCATGTGAGAATTCTGTGAGTCAAAGATGGAGAATGCATAAAATATAGATTTAGTGTAACTGACCATGAACTCACACCTTCTGCCCAAAACATTCAAGTAGCAAAGTTTCTTCAAGGGTAGAACAATATACTTAAATTTAAGCTCAAGTTATCATGTTTAATTATCCTCACCTGAAACGAAGTATGTGCTTATTCTCTTTAGAGGCTCTAGGCTCCGTGCAGCACTGTCCAATGGAGCTTTCCGTGACGGGAGGAATGTTCTCTCATCTGCACCATCCAAAACGACAGCCACTAGCCACGCGTGGCTCTTGAACATTTGCAATGTGGCCAACAGACTAAGGAAATGAATTTTTAATTTCATTGAATACTGGTTATTTTAAATTTAAATAGCCACTTGTGGCTAGTGGCTACCCTACCTGGGATCTGAGTAGACAAGCCCCTGGCCTTGGCTCTTCCTCACTCTCCAGCTCCATGCTCTGCTCCTCTCCCGCCTCCAGCAGTCAACACTCCCGAGGCCAGACTGCTGTCTCACACCTCCCCGGCTAGGCAGATGCTGCCCTCTTGGCCTGAACTGCCCTTTCCTTGCCATCCACCTCCCAACTTCATGAAAACTGTGTTCAGATTTCACTTCCTCTGGGCAACTTTCCCCAATTCCCTCCCGGCTTACCTCACCCTACTGCCAACACAATCCATCACTGCCTGATCTGTGCTACTCTGCATCTGTTTCCGCTGCTCTCATCACCCGGTAGTTGTCATGTATTCCCTGTGATGCTAACAGACTGGGGGAGTTTTAAGGACCAGGTCTTATTCATGGCTGCGTTCTTGTGGTGTGTGCCCATCGCATAATATATGTGCAGTAAATATCTGCTGAGCACATTAGTCACTGCATATGAATACATGCAATGTTTTGTTAAATAAGCCTCAGTGTATTGACAACCACTCCCTGATTATATAGATCGAATTCTCTTATAAGGCCTATTTTCAAATAATAAAAAAGTTATGAGAGTCTCAGTTGCAGGTCTATTTATTTTAAGCCATATCAATATAACATTTCAGTACAAATCAAGGAATATAAATGTTCCCTGGAACAAAATCCGACCTGTAGCTGCTCCTCCTAAGGGTCTGGAAGTCTCTTGGATTTCAGAAACTGATCCTGTCATTGATCTGTCCCCCCCGTGCTTGCAGTGACTTACTAGGGAGACACTGACGCAGTTGAAAATCAAGAAGACAAGAGGACTTGATTATGGACAGAGTCATGTGGGAATTCAAGGGTGATCTATCCTTGCTACACCCTCTACCCAATCCTACCTCCAAGAAGAAAATCATCAAAATCTTATCTAATGTGAAAAATACTGACATGGGTGATACATGTCTGTTCAGTGACATATGCTATCCCCAAAAAAAGGATTGTTTCCCTTATTCCTTAGCAAAACTTTTTGCTCAAAAAAATCTTCCTTGTTAAATTATGTAGCATCTGTTGCAATATTAACCTGCCCTGGGAGCCACCCTGGTTCATTTTTTTTCATCACAATTTTCTGACTAATCCTTTATTTGGATTCCCACACAAGTGTTCCTACAATTAGAAGAAGCTTTTGATGGATACAATTCTGTGAACCTTATTTGTATGAGATATTTCCCAAGGACCAAGCATCTGGTGAATGTATTTTACAAATGATTTTCTTTCCTGCCCTTCAGGAACTTACAGTTCAATAAGACAAATAAATATACAGTGACCAGAAATGCATATTCATTGGTACAATCATGGCAGTGGGCATTGAAGAAATGGATTTCAGAGAGAACATGCATCCAAAGGACTTCATCTTCAAATCAGATATAGATTTGACTTTTGTTTTCTTATTAATTATGTGGTTTTGTTTTATTTTAAAATGCACAAACAGCACTTTCTAACGTAATGAACATTGATTTAAAAAATGATTGAGTTACATGGGGCTGTATGATCATTTAGATAAATCTCTAGTTTTCCCATATTACTGACAGATTTTACACAGTCTTTTCTCTGGTTTCCCTTTCCCCTCACCCAACACATATCTCCCAGAATTTGAATCTAAGATGCTCCCCCAAAAGACAAAGGACTAACATATCTTTTGAGGCTACTAACGAATACTATGAGATAAGTATCTTTCCTTAAGTTGCCTGCCTTAAATTTAAATATAGGGATATCAATTTTTTTTTTACTTCCTTCCAAAATCTGCCAATCTAGGAAGAACGCTGATTAAGTCTAGAAATTATGTTCCATGTTATTGGAATTGCTTGTGAATTCTACTAATATAAGATGCACTTATTTCCAAAATGTGTCTCTTGTTGCTTAGAAAAGAGAAGATCTAGCTTTCACAGATTATGTTTTGAGGTTAAAAATGAAGATAGTGACCTTAAGTTCCTCAAGATTTGTAAGGCTGGCATGCCATCTATCTCAATAATACCTAACAAGAATGTCAAATGGCCAGAAACGGCCCTGGTAAGCGGGTGTTTGCAGCTGACAGTGATTGCTGTATTTTGGGTGATGGGGAACAGCATCTCCATTAGTTCAAGTGAAATACAATGCTCTGCCAACTCTGGGTATCAGTGTATTCAATCCCCCTGCTGTGCAGTGTCCATTTTCTGTTGCAATTAAAAATCAGTTGATACAAAGTCAAAATGTTGTACCCTCTTCCCCTATCCCTTTCCCTGTCACTGTGTTTCCAGCTTCACCGGAAGAACATGTCACTATGGTAACGAATCTCTCTGGTGCACAGACCAAGTCAACCTTTCTAGCCGGATTGCTAGGCAAAGCAACATGGAATCAAAGCCCTCAATGGAACCACCGGGAGCCATGGATTCCATCCCCCTTTTTCTGAGTGGAGTGAACCAATGCCAGACAGAAGGATACCCAATCCATCGTGCTGCCAGAGACCTTTAAGAAAGGAAATGCAAGAATGTCCTTCAGCAAGTCCTACCACTGTTTTTCAGTCGTTATTAACATGAATTCTTCCTCATGTTTCAGCTAACTTCCTACCATTTCAATTTTAATGAAAGCGGAGCACAACCAAACAATATAACACTTCATGAAACTGAGAATCTGAACGCTGTTACAGTCTACCCATTGTTAAAAAAGATTGTTTTTTCTTGCCTTCCTACTTCTAAATCCAAACCAAGTTACTCTCTTCTGGAATTCTCTAACATCCTGCCCATCTTTACAAAGTTGTAGAGCTCCAAATGGGTCACCCTGCTCTAATATGAGCCTAACTCTTAAGCAGTTGTGATGTTTGTAGTATTAACACACTCATAACCGAATCAGCTAAAATCCCTAGTCATTCTACAGAAGCTACAAAACAAACATGAAGATGGATTCTCCTTCTGGACTTCACCTCACCTACATCTGACTAGCCACCTAGACCATACCCACTGCTTGTCATTCTTAAACAACTGACTTTTTTTTTCAAATTAACTATTTTTTTCTGATCAATTTCAACATTTTTCTGAATCAAAGAACATCAGTTCTCACAAATGATATTTTACAACAGGAGCAAACCTGCATTATAATATTAAGGGACAGTAAGAACTGTTCCATCTGGGCCTCAGAGACTTTGCAGAGAACATCATTTTCACCTTGGCATCACCATTTAATAGTTGAAGGCAATGAAACATGGTGGGGGGGGGTGGGAACAAGACTCAGAAAGTCACACCACATCTTCCAGAATGCAACTACCATAGAAGGGAATGCATTCCCTTTTTCAGAGCAATATTAATATATATCCAAACAACATTTCAATGGATTAACAGAACAGGGTGGCCCCCAAAGTATAAATCATCCAAGATTTACAAACTGCATCAGATGAACAGACTTTTAAAAAATTGTGGGATCAACATTAGAGTACCCAAGAAATTTTCATCATTAGCAAATGAAGTCCGTTTTCTGTTTTGGAATACTTCAGGTATTTTTGATATAAATCTTCAGAACATGGTAATTTTTTTTCCTCTGAAGTGCCCACTTTGGTGTTACCTGAGGAACTACTTTTTATTTATTAGGCCCTGTTAAAATTCGATGCACACAAGTCACTTTTGTCAACCACCTCCCCAAAAGGAGAGATCAAGAATCGTGGTAGGATGCTCCTGGTCAACAAGACTGTCACTGCAACGGGACAGGGGCTGTGATTTACTGATGTTTATGTGACCAATGCCTGCACCGTGCTCAGCACAGTCTAGCACTTAGCAAGCGTTTGTGGCGTGAATAAGGTGAATAAGGCCTTCTCGGTGAGATGCTGAATCAGTCCGACATCTAAAACAAAGATTAAAACTAGGAGGCTGTCTGCCTGACACATCATTCTCAAATTTGGGGACTGCTCTGCGAACAACACAACATGAGAGATTCCCTCCCTTTTCAGAGACTGATGAAGCATTAGCCTGAATTAAAAACCCTGGCCCACGATATTCCACGGGAATCCCATCAGACCAACGCAAGACCAGAGGCCGGCCGGAGAGAAGTACGCCTCCATTACCAGCTACTGGGGGGCAAGTTCTGGCCAGTCCGAGGCTCCGCAGGGCCTGGCTAACCTGACCTCCTGGAAGTAGGAGGCCCGGGAGACTGTGGCCCCGCGAAGGGAGGAGAGGGTGGCCGGGCCTAGGAGGCGCCGGGCTCTCCGCAGCGCCACGCCTCGCGCTTACCTTTCCGAATGAGGGCTGCGATCTCGGGGTCGAAGCCCTGCCGGTGGCACTTCCTCCAGAGGCCCATGTTGGTGGAGTTGTACTGCCGGCTGCACTCGTCAACCGGGCTCATGGCGAAGAGCTGCCGGCGGTTCCGGGCCCGGAGGAGTTTGCCCTCCCAGCGGTCCAGGCGCGAGCGGCTCGCCCGGAGCGGCAAGTTGTTGTTGTTGTTGTAAATGAAGCCGGGGTCGACCCGGCGGGTGTTGAAGGCCTTGCACCTGTCCCTGTGCTTCCTGGCGTCCGTCTCGTACCAGTGGTCCGAGCAGATGGCCACGGCCAGCATGCCGAGGGCGCAGAGCGCTAGCGAGAGGCCCGTATAGAGCAGTAACCTTCCGGCAGCCATGCCTCCGCTTGGCGGCTACACCATGGGCATGATCCGCCGCAGCCTCGCCTTCCCTCCGCGCGCCCGGAACAAAGCGGCGGGCGGGCGGCCGAGCCAAGGGGGGGAGGGGGACCGGAGGGGGACTCGCGCCGCGGCGCCCCCTCGCCCCCGCCTGCCGGTGCGCGGCCCAGGGACTGCGGGGATGGGGGCGGGCAACCTAAAAAGTTCTGATCCGGGGAGGCTCGGGCGGGCTCCTGGGCATCCTCCGGGGCAGGTGCAGCCTCGGGCGGCAGCGAGCGGGACAAGACCGCCTCCCGCCCCCTCCCTGCCCGGCAGGAAGCGACTGCCCCGAACAGGCCGCGTCCGCACGCAGCTGGGCTTCGGGCGCCGCTGCCCTGGGGCCAGAAACTAAACACCAAGTGCCCTCGGCTGCAGTGGGGCTGCCGGGCTTTCTTTGTGCAGGGTAGCGATGGGACCCCTCGCCTGGCTTTTTCTTGGGGTAAGGGGGTGGGGGCTATCACGAGGAGCTGCGCGACGACCGAATGAACTCCAGCACCCGCGATGCGGCCGGCCAGCGAAGGAAACCTCCAGATGCCAGGGCCGGCTGCCCTGAGTCCCGCCTGGGTCTCCCACTCAGCGACTCTCCCCCTTCCGGTCTGCAAGCGAAGAAATGTTCTTCCTTTCTGAGTCGGGTCTTTTTTAAAATCTCCGTCCTCTGGTCACCAGCAGGTCCCTTGCTCTGTCTGGCCAGCGCGCTGTGCTCAGAGGCGGGCTCCCCGTGGGCGCACGTTTGCGGCCGACCTTTCCGCGCGGGCTCCCGGGTCGTCTGTGTCTGGCCTCGCCATTCAGGAGGCCCCTCGGGCCGACGGCGCGGTCACTCGGACGGCGTTACAGGACGAGCCTTGGCCCGGGACTGGGGACGACTGGGCGGCAGCTGGCGGGCGCGAGGGGCAGGCTGCGCAAAGGCGGGTGCACCCGGCAGGGCGCACCGCGCGGGGCGCGCGGAACTCGGCTCGCGGTGCCTTCAACACCATGGACAGGTCGCGCGATTGGGGCTCACCGCCAGCTGGACAGCCAGCCCCCGGGGCGTCATGCCGATCTCCCCAGCGCCCTCTTCTTCCTCAGTATCCACCCGACAGGTTCCAGACCCGCCTCTCCCGCGACGCCTCTGCCTCACTTCATCTGGCTCCCAAGTAGCCCCGGGAACGTGCTGCCCAGGTGCAAAGAAAATGCTGCAGGCACCGAGGAAAACAGCGGCCCCGGCCCTTCAAAACAATCCGCCCCCTTCTCCCGCCACCCGAACCCGGCACTGTAGCTGTCTGCTCTGCCCAACTGGAGTCAGCCGCTCTCAGACTGCACCATTTTCTTCTCAGCCCACCCGAGGCGCCGGCTCACTCGGCAGCGTGCAGAGAATCCCGTCCCGGTCTCAACGTCCCACGATCAGGCTCCCGGCGCGCGGTGGCCGACGAGGTGAATGGGGCGAGGGTGGGGGAGGGAGGCTGGGTCGCTGCCTCCTCCTCTAGCCGCGGCGGCTCCGGGGCCTCGCGGGCCGGGCGGGTGCTGGGGAGCGAGAGCCCCAGCTGCGCCCGGGGTGCTCGGGAAATCGCATCGCCCGGCTGCGAGCACCGGAGGAAGCCGCTGCCGCGCTCGCTCGCTCGCCCGGGCGCCGGGCGCTGCAGCCTTGGCTAAAACCCACAGACGAGAACACGGAGCGCGCAGCCAAAAGCTAGTGATGTCATCCGTGCAACGTGAGCCTCATCTCTTATTTTTCTAGCATCCTTAAAGATAAACTGCACCATTTCCCAGGCACAAAATGCCTAAGCCTTAGTCTTTGACCAGGCAAGTCAATGGTGTCTAGATAGGTATGTGCCCAACCACATCCATATTTATGCACATATACATATATGTGGTATGTAGCATGTTTACACGCATTATTATAAATTTAGGGATGTTGCCTCCATCTCCTATTTATCTCTTTTCAGTGGTGGAAAATTCCCTCAAATCGACCACAGTTCTTTAAAAGGCTGCTTATTGCAGAGTCGGCATCCGGAGGGGCTGAGGAAGTTCCCTGCGTCCCCCGGTTTTGGTCGCTGGTATCTTGGATCACATTTGATCTTTGTTTTCCCCCCAGAAAGCCACAGGCGCTACCTCGCTAGCTACAGGCGTTTCCCCCTGGGGCCGAGTGCGTCGGTGGGGTTGTCACGGCCAACCCCAGTCTAGCCCCACGCCAGCGCCAGACACCCCGACACACACCCACCTCCACCTGCCTCCGCCTCCCTCCCTCCCCGGCAGGAAAGGAAAAATGAAATTGATTGATCCTTTCAAGGCCAGAGGAAGAGAATGTTAATGGGTGTGTAGGGGGGTGCTTAATAGATATTTTGAAAACGCCCGGGGGCTCGCTCTTTGAGAAGGGGAGGTGGGGTTAAATGAAACCCCGGCGCGGGATTTGTCCTCAACTGGGTGGCGGCTGGATTTAGGCTCAGCGCGGGCTCTGGGAAGCAGTGAAGGACCCCAGACCTTGAGCGAGTGGGCGGCAAGCGAGCCCCACTTCATCCCAGAAACGCCCCCCCCCCACCCGCCCGGCTCACGTGAGACAGCGCCGCAAAGGCTGGGAGCCTCCCTCCCAGGTTGAAAGACTGGGTTTTTCTCTCTAATGCTCGCCCCTCATTTGCACCTGCACTCCAAAACCGGGGGCCCGCACTGCCGGGGAAAGAGCTGCCCCGGGGAAAAAGAGTACCCGGCACCCTGCTTTGCACAACGGGGCCTGCGAGCCAGGAAGAGCGCACCTCCACCATATTCTTTTTGTCTTTTTTCATCCTCCCTGCAGTTTGAAAATCGGGAACGAGGCGTTTCAGTGCCATCTAGTGGGGGAGGGGCGAGCCTCGCTTTCCGTCCCTGGATGCGGCAAGGGATTTGCTGAAAGGGACAGCAGAGCCTGAGCATGTCCGCTCGGTTCCTGGGCGCCCAGCTGGTGGAGAGGCTGTGGGCGTATGCCACTTGCCAGCTCCTGGTCCCCTGGGCTCCCTAGGACGGCGAGGTGGAGCCAAGGGACTTGGCCACAATGTCTTCTCACCTTCCTTTCTACCCTCCTCCCACCAGTACCCTCTCTCCCCCAACCGTGAAAATGTGGAAACACTTTGCACATGCAGACGATGTCTGAAATTTCTGGAGCTATTTTATTCTGTAAAGCCCAGAGCACTTTGTAGGCTAACAGGATGTCTGTTTGACCCTAGCGAGGAGGCAGAAAGGTGATACGATACCTACAAGGTCACTCAGCAAGTTGGGGCACATCCAGCATTAGAGCCTCACCCTCCTCATTCTCAGCTGTGCCCTCCCCTGAGAACCAGCTGCAAGAGGCGCCTTGGAGACCCCTGGAAGCCCAGGCAGCTATCCATTTGGCAATGAAGGAAACTGTTCATTTTACCCCTATCTGTCCTCCCTCTTCCATTATTCTGTCCCTTTCTTCTTCCTCTTTAACTTTTTCTCCTGGCCTGAGCCTTAGGCCTGCTTCCCAGGATGTGCCTTGCCCCTCCTCCCATGGTCCTCCTCAGCAGTCCTGTGATTACAGGGCCCTGCTGGGAGAAGGGACCTAAATGGCACACTGTCCTCCTCTTTTCTGACCATCATTAAAATTCTGTTCTGAAATTTTTGTCCTTGGTAACATCCCCAAAGCCTTTTAAAGATGTTTGTTTGAGGCCTCCTTTGAAATGCAGTTTTCCTGGACAGCCCAACTCCATTTGGGGAAGATCTGGTCTTTGGAGCTAAAAAGATGGTGGATTCTTCCTCTAACCTGTGTAACAAGAGACTTTAGAGTCAACCATACAACAGTGCATGAATCTCTCCTAGAACATTTCCCAAAAAGTAATGGCCAGCTTCTGCTTGCACACTTGCAGTGATAGGGAAATCACTCTCTTGGCAAGCACCCTGTTCCACTGTCAGATGGTATAAATGGTTAGACAATCCTTCCTGACACTGAGTTTTATCCTAGATCCCTGTAATCCTACCCATTGGCCTTTGAGAAGCCCACAGGTACCTGATTCCTCTCCCATGTAATGGTCCTTCTCATACTTCACCTCAGCCATCATGTTCTCCCTAAGCCTTCTTCCTTCCAGGCTAAATACCCCTTGTTTATTTCCTCCTTGAACTTGCTGCTCCTGGGTTTCTGATTCTTCCTGATTATTAGTGTGTCTGGTATCCAGCAGTGCTCCTTCATCTAACAGCCAAGTCAACCAATAAAGAAAAAAACACCATCACACCGTCAGTCAGGTTTTCACATGACCCATGTAAAGTTCTAATAATCCTCACTTTCGCTTCTAGGATCTCTTCTACAACTCATCCCTTTTGAATGCTACCCTAGGATCTTGCCCCAAAATGACATCAAAATCATTGGTTTGCAGTTTCTGAAATCCACATTTTTGAAATTTGGAATTTCATTTGCTCACACACAACCTCCCTCCTTTCTCTAACCGATGTTCACATTCTCCAAGCTTTCTCCAAGCCCAACAACAGAGATGCAGAGATATCATTAAAAATTCTCTCTGTTTCCTGGGGTGCAGTTCACCCAGAGCAGACAGATGCTTTCCTACAATCTCTTCATCCACTGGGAACTGTCTTCAGTTATTATATTTGTTCTACCTTACCCCCTACTTTAGTCTGAAATCACTCTCCTTGACATTGTCTATTAGAAGCAAAATAAAAATTGATGAAGTGTGTTTTCTCTTTGCCATCTATCAACATGCCATCATTTGCTCAGAGAAAAGGCCTCCTATATATTCTTATTCCTGTTTTCCTAATTAATGTTGCGCAACTGGGACATTGATTGAAACCCAAGAGTTATCTTCTACTTTAGGCCTCCTGACAGTCCCCCAAGTGTGTAATATGCTAGTATTTATGCTTCTCTCTACATCTCATCACAGAGCCACACTGGTTTGTTAGGGACTTTCCTTCTTTTCTTCCTCATTAGGGTAATTAGAACGTCATTAGGGTCATTAAAGCATTTTCATCTCACCCCTGGGCATCCAACTCCTCTCCTTGCTTTATTCTTCTACCATACCACCATGTTAAT